GGTCCAGTCACTCGTCCAGTCACTCGTTCAATCACTTGCTCGTCCAGTCACTTGTCCAGTCCACTCGTCCAGTCACTCGTCCAGTCACTCGCTCGTCCAGTCACTTGTCCAGTCACTCGTCCAGTCACTCGTCCAGTCACTCGCTCGTCCAGTCGCTCGTCCAGTCACTCGTCCAGTCAGTCACTGGTCCAGTCGCTCGTCCTGTCCACTCGTCCAGTCACTCGCTCGTCCCACTCGTCACTCGTCCAGTCACTCGTCCAGTCACTCGCTCGTCCAGTCACTCGCTCGTCCAGTCACTTGTCCAGTCACTCGTCCAGTCACTCGTTCAATCACTTGCTCGTCCAGTCACTTGTCCAGTCACCCGTCCAGTCACTCGTCCAGTCACTCGCTCGTCCAGTCACTTGTCCAGTCGCTTGTCCAGTCACTCGCTCGTCCAGTCACTCGTCCAGTCACTCACTCGTTCCAATCACTTGCTCGTCCAGTCACTTGTCCAGTCACTCGTCCAGTCACTCGCTCGTCAGTCACTCGCTCGTCCAGTCCTCGCTCGTCCAGTCACTCGCTCGTCCAGTCACTCGCTCGTCCAGTCACGTCGCCGTCCAGTCAGCTCGTCCAGTCACTCGCTCGTCCAGTCACTCGCTCGTCCAGTCGCTCGTCCAGTCACTCGTCCAGTCAGTCACTGTCCAGTCGACTCGTCCAGTCACTCGTCCAGTCACTCGCTCGTCCAGTCACTCGTTCCAGTCACTCGTCCAGTCACTCGCTCGTCCCAGTCACTTGTCCAGTCACTCGTCCCAGTCACTCGTCCAGTCACCTCGTTCAATCACTTGCTCGTCCAGTCAACTTGTCCAGTCACTCGTCCAGCACTCGTCCAGTCACTCGCATCGTCAAGTCACTTGTCCAGTCGCTTGTCCAGTCCATCGCTCGTCCAGTCACTCGTCCAGTCACTCGTCCAGTCACTCACTCGTTCAATCACTTGCTTGTCCAGTCACTTGTCCAGTCACTCGTCCAGTCCACTCGCTCGTCCAGTCACTCGCTCGTCCAGTCACTCGCTCGTCCAGTCGCTCGTCCAGTCCGCTCATCCAGTCACCTCGCTCGTCCAGTCCACTCGTCCAGTCACTCGCTCGTCCAGTCACTCGCTCGTCCAGTCACTCGCTCGTCCAGTCGCTCGTCCAGTCACTCGTCCAGTCAGTCACTGGTCCAGTCGCTCGTCCAGTCACTCGTCCAGTCACTCACTCGTTCAATCACTTGCTCGTCCAGTCACTTGTCCAGTCAATCGTCCAGTCACTCTCGCTCGTCCAGTCACTCGCTCGTCCAGTCACTCGCTCGTCCGTCGCTCGCTCGTCCAGTCACTCGCTCGTCCAGTCACTCGTCCAGTCCACTCGCTCGTCCAGTCAATCGCTCGTCCAGTCGCTCGTCCAGTCACTTCGCCAGTCGCTCGTCCAGTCACTTCGTCCAGTCACTCGCTCGTCCATCACTGGTCCAGTCGCTCGTCCCAGTCACTCGTCCAGTCCACTCGCTCGTCCAGTCACTCGTCCAGGTCACTCGCTCGTCCAGTCACTGGTCCAGTCACTCGCTCGTCCAGTCACTGGTCCAGTCGCTCGTCCAGTCGCTCGTCCAGTCACTTCGTCCAGTCACTCGCTCGTCCAGTCACTGGTCCAGTCGCTCGTCCAGTCACTCGTCCAGTCCACTCGCTCGTCCAGTCACTCGTCCAGTCACTCGCTCGTCAGTCACTCGTCCAATCACTCGCCTCGTCCAGTCGCATCGTCCAGTCGCTGGTCCAGTCACACGCCCGGCCGCCTTTGTCTCTCCCCCAGTGGCGATGCTCACTACTTACACACACACACCCATCACCACACACCAGGTACTCATTCGAGGCTGAGTCGACCTAGGGAGGCACAGGACCGTTCAGATAATCGTCACTGTGGTGTTGGCCGTGAGCGGGGAATCGAACTCGGGTCACCGGGTTCGTAGCGCTAACCACTACACTACCGCTCCCCACACACGCACTCACATACACACTCACATATACACTCACTCCACATACACACACTAACATATACACTCACTCACATACACACTCGCTCACATACACACTCGCTCACATATACACACACATAGTACACTCACATTTGCATACACACACTCATACACACACTCACATATACACACTCGCATATACACACTCATCATATACACACACATATACACACTCACATCACATATACACCACCACTCACATATACACACACTACATACATACACACACCACTATACACACTCACACACACTCGCTCATATAGCAAAGATCCCCCAT